ATATATTATACTAATAATATTAATTAGTATATTTATTAATAATTATTTATTAATACATTCATTAAAATAATTATTTATTAAAATAACTAACGGTTACACTCTTTCCACCATAATACCGAGATTTGTTAACGGCAAATAGACCTTCATAAATTGCCAATGAATTTACAAAAACGCAAACTAAAAAATCCACACAACGCCTGAAATCCTCGATAACCATTATAGGCAAACGAAATCGATTTTCTCACGGATAACACTTATAAGCAATCGAAACTAGTGTTTCTTTCTACGATAACTGTTGCGTCTAACAAATTTCCTTTCCTTCGTCGTTCATGATTACGAACTATATAACTATTACTTGTAACTAAAAAGCAACCGAATGGAAATAGTAATTGTTATGCAACGATGTTTTCCGCTTCGGCTGTTTATCAAATTATGCGAGCAACGTGCGAAGGACATCTAACGACACGAATGCGGGAACGGAGCGGAGAGAGGAGGAATTTACGAAGAAGTTTCGCCGGTTTCTCTCCGTCTATTATTGAGCACATTTTTCAGTTTGTTTCTTTTTTATTATGTTTCTCCGTCGATTTCTCTGTCGCTGTTTCTGTGCCTCGGGAAACTCGATCACGGGGAGCAAACCATTCGACGCAGCGGATGACCTATCCACCGATAGGCTATCGGTCGCCACTCGAGCGTTCTTCAAATTCGTCACGTAGAATCAAATCATAGAAATTCGACAACCGGATACTAATGCACTGCTCGTAGAGACGACCGGAGACTCGATTATTTACAATGGACTAGGACATTAATTAAACATGCACGGATGAAACATCGCGGAAAATGCTTCGCTTGAAACGTGTTTCTCCAAGGTTAATCGGTCAAACGATACCATCTTCGCGATTACCGTAACCATCTGTCCGTGACGCACAAGATGAAACAATAGAATCACGAGGATCATCGGATACAATTTGCCGAGCTGCTTTATTACTTTCTAGAACTATACAAGGGGAAATCCCCTATATCGACGTATCGATCAGAGGAGACAAAAACGCAGTTGACGGTCCAAATACCATATAATTAAATACCATAATTATAATACCATAATTAAAATCTAAAAAGTGTTTTCGTCAACGTTTAGTGGTGATTTACCGAGGTGATTGATTTTGCGCGTAAATACGTTTTTTAACAATTGTCATCGATACCTTGTCAAGGCCGTTGTTATTAACAAATTCGTCGCGTTGTTAACAAGCAGGGAGATACATGCAACCCCGACAAAAAGAAAGGAATCCTGATTAATGGAGCAAGTTTCCAACGCCTTGCCATTCCAGACATTCTAAGCGAAGCCAAGCTGACCGCAAGCGAACAGATATACAAGACACAAGCAGTAAGCCACACTTATTTTTATTTCCCATAGTCTTTTATATCTTTATAATAGCATTTAAATAGTATTTATATAAGTATTAGTATTATAATAGTATTTAAATAGTATTTAAATATATATATTTTCGTTTTACATAGTTTTAGATTGATCCGTCCTATCATCGATAGAACGGAGCAGCGAAAACATCGAAGGCAGGAGCAGCGAGGACGTCACAGCCAGGAACACATAAATCGGAGCGGATAAATTAATTTAATAAACACGTGTACGTATATACTTCGTTCGAAATGAATTGTTCGCTGCATACCACTATAAAATAGAAAATAAAATTTTTTTTCCAATATTAGTTTTTAACTTTGATTATTTTCCTTTCCCCTATAACAATACTATATGTCCCCCTGGAAGCCATGCAACTTCTACCTGAGACATTATC